CCACTGGTGCCTTAGGGGCTGGAGCTTTAACCCCAACACACGACGATAAGTACTTGATAAATTGCCTCGTTGATGGCACAGTTAGGTGCTCTTCCAGTTTTTGGCAATTGCATTTCTGCAGGTGTCCTTGCTGGAGTTGCTTTATCAAGTCCTCTTGTTCTTGAAGCTTACATCTCAGATCTTCGTTCACACGAACCTGTTCTTCGAATGCCTCTTGGAGGGAGGAGTCTGCATGATCTTTCTCATCGAACTCCGACACATTTTGCATTTCTACATCGCTGTCTAGATCGAGTAGCGATCTCATGTGAAAAATCCATACACATCAGACACTGGTGTGGCTGTGCCACTACCATCACTTGTTGATGGCACATCTGGCGTAGCTAGTGGCTTTGAAAAGCTACTTGTTGAGGGCTGGTCCGATTCAAATTGGTCCTTCAGTAGTCTAGCCACCATCATTTCCTGAGCTGCGATTTCAGCAGCCTTCGCCTTGGCATCTTCTGTCTTCTGCTTCTTGACTTTAAAAGATGAGGCTTTTGGTGTAGCCTTTATGGTGTCTTTATTCTGAAAGCATAATGATAAGTCATAAATTTCATGACATTGATCAGTTAAAAATCATTTATCATTATTCTCTTTTTATGAAATTGTGCACAAACTTATATGCCTTTGGCCTCATTTGTTTATTAATCTGATTCACCAAAAAGTGAAAAATTCACATCAATCCGGAAAATTGAGAAAAAAGGAAAACAATAAATCTAAAAGCTATGATAGCAATTCAGTCAATTGAGGCCACCATTCAGACCTCCTTCACAAAGTCCATGGGCCATGACAGAAAAAGTTCAAGTTTCATCAAATTATTTTTCCACTCCATGTATGGAATTCTTTCCATGGGGGCTTTCAATTTTCAAAAGTTGCTAACTTTACCCGGGCAAATTTGGAAAAGTTTGCATTTACATTGAGCAATTTCATATCCGAAACCATGTCCCAATACTGGACGGGCGCACCATTACGTGTACTGTAAAAGACACCCCAAACTGTTTTCCCCACTTACATGTATTGCCTGACAAGGGGAGCAAAATTAAGAAAATATTTCTCTTGCATTTTATCAGAAAATCACTCATAATGTGTACAAGTAGGCCATCAGCCTCGGTCCAAAATTTTGGTCACCGATATCAAATGAGGGGAATAATCGTCATAACGATTTTTGACAAGGTAAACACCTCCAAAATTAGAAATACATGTATGTGATAGCATTGCAGAGGTGGCATTTTTTTGGGGTGTTATCACCCATTTTTTTTCTTTTCAAAACGTCCATCAAAATGCTTGTAACCACTCCAGGGGTGGTATACCTTGCGAATGCGCACTGCAATTATTTATGCCCTGATTTGATACTGCACAAACCCCCAGGCTGATGACCTAAAATTACCTGCTGTTACTACAAAAGTACAATGCACTTACCTGTTTGTGAACGTTCTTCCTTTTGGAGGGGCTCTTATGAGGACTGGTTTGATTGTGCACTTTTCTCAATTGGCTGAGTTGCTTTGATGCATCATCTTTGTTTGCTAAAAGGAAAAACAATACATGTAGGTAGAAACCATTGTTAAGCATCCTAGAACAAATATTTTGTCGTGACTGCACTTGCTGCATTGACAGTGGTGCTTTTCAGGTACATGTAAATGGGCCTTAAAGATAACTTTTTATAAAACATTGTTTTACAATGTTACGACTAATAGCCCAAAAGACTTTCAGTTCTTGGCAGCTGTAGAGTATTTTTTAAGACAATCAGAACACAGTGTAAAACAATGTGCTTTCATAACTTGCTGTAAAGTGTAGTATACTGTAATACTGTAGTATTAATGCACAATTTAGGGTGACTGCAAACCTTAGAGAACAGATTATAAAGCAACACAAGTTAAAAATAATTGAACTTCATCACATCATGAAGTATGATGTAGTACTATGTACGTCTATAGATATATTTGCAGCACTGAGACTGCATGAATGAGTGGACAGGTCTGTACTGTGCATCATAGTACACATGACCTGTATAACATTGTATATTTACCTGCAATGACAACAACCTTTCCTTCATACATCCTCCCATCTGTCCATTTTGCCATGCAACTGTCGCCCTCTTCTATCGCTGATTCTTGCAGAGATTCGCCACTAGCCTCATGCTCCACTTCCGTGCCTTTTAAGACTCCGCTAAGTTGACCGTCAAAATATTTGACTACTACCCACTTAACTGAAAAAAAGTTTTATTGTATATTGGTAAAATATATACATTTTGTATAAAATGATATTGATGAGGATGTGATGAGGAAAAGAACAAAGAGGTGACCATACTTTACTCTAGAGAAAAGGGTAAAGCCACATTTTTACACTTCTGTCAGATTTTTCCTAGCCTTAACATAAAACAGCACATGATACCTGAAAAAAATTTGCAACCTAACAAAATTGAACATGTTGAACCTGTTCACATGCTGTTTCTCAGTTCCAGCATGTCCAGATTCATGTCTTATCATCATTTTTGCAATGAATGACCTTCATTGAGATGCGATATGAAGGAAAAAGTGATATCAGGTTGCATTATTTTTTTCCAAATTCATGATGGGATGGGAAAAATGTTGCAACCTGACACCACTTCAGCGGTTGTCATGGTTGTGTGCAAAGTCTAGGGAGAGTCAAGACAATTTTTGAAGTATTTCTTATTAATTGGAAATATTTCTCAATCCCAGACTTGCCAGATTAATGTCTTATCAATAATTTTTGAAATAACTGACCTTCATTGAGATGATAGGCCTATATGAAGAAATAAGTGGCGGCAGGTTGCAATTTTTTTTTTTCAATTACAGCCTAGCACTACATCATACATTTTACATCATGTACATGTAGCATAGACCTAGGTCACTGTACTTTTGTAGGCCTACATCATCATTACATGTACATGTGCTTAAATTAAACTTAAGTTAAGTTAAAGCCGATTCTTGGCCATGAATTTTACTTACGTTCGTTGTAATGGTACGTCCTAACCGACCAACGTTCGAGGGTTTTTGATGTCATAGCTGGACTTCGAAGTTGGAGCCAAAACGGACGAACGATCACGATAGACGATTTCACTGAAAAGTCTGATTTAAAAATCTGCGTAGCAAACCCGCTGACGACTGCACTTGACTGGTCACGTTTTGTTCGCAATTTTGGTGACAATGACGGCGGCACCCAATTCCAAAACAACTCGAAAGTAGGCCTACTGCAGCGTGAATGTTAAATCACCTAATCACATGATATATTCAAGCAAAATTCAGTAGAAACTTTCGGCTCAAAGGAAACGAAAATGTACATGTAGATACGTGGCAAGAGTCCGTAGCAGTATTATGTGCGGCGCCGAAAGTTTAAACGTGTACATCCAAAGGATTCTGGGAAGTCATGACGTCATGACATGTCCGATTGTGAGATAGACGTTAACTGGCGATTGATTAAAAATATAAAGATTTCTTTTAATGATTAATAACAAAAAAAATATTCGCAGTATATTGTGATTGAAAATAATGTATTATTACATTAATAAAAAAGAAAAGGAAAAAAGTTGAACGTACGTCTCGACGAATAGACGAATAACGTACCAGTAGTCTGACTCCAATATGTACATGCATTAGCGGCTGCAACCAGGCATTTTCCCTGAAAATAGAGTCTGTTTACGGAGTAGGCCTACACATATGCACATGCACGAGGGGAGGAGTCGTCAACTAGACCGGATGCACTTCCTGTAAAGTTTCTCAGTTCCAGACTCATGTCTTATCATCATTTTTGCAATGAATGACCTTTGTTGAGATGATATATGGAGAAAATAGTGACTCAGGTTCAACATTTTTTCCAAAAAAAATTCATAACTTAAAAAACAGCTGTCTGCTCAACCACTCTGCATTTCTAACTCAACAAATGTGAACCTCCAGTTTGTATTCTTTTTGTTTGTGTAGAAAATCAGAGAAAAAGAGTCAGCACATCCTACAAGCAGAACATCAAGTACACGAAGGGACCTGGACCTGCTGATTCAAGAGAGGCCAGTGGGGATAAGCTCGCCGCTTCTGCATCAACATCTGTGGAATCATTCCAACATTCTGCGGCTAGTGAAGTCCTTGTACTTGAGTCTATCAAAGAACGTATAGAAGACCAATTTCAGGCATTCAATGATGGAGAAGGTGCATGGGCAATTGAAGATGATGAAAGCGATCTCTTTAACACAGAAACTGATATCCAAGACACAGAAACTGATATCCAAGAAACAGTACACTTCCATGGACCTCGATCGTCATCACATTCTGAAGATGAACATGATGAAGACCTCACCTGGGCAGCTGAAGAAGTCTCAGCCAGCGATGCAGACCAAACCTGTGGCAATGAAACATACGTTCAGGGTATGTCTGATGATGACAACAACCCAGTGCTTGACGCTACTGCAGAGGATAAAACTAGGTAAAAATATCCCGAGGCTTGTTTTTTTTTTTTGCTATTTGGCGATTGCTGTTTTAAGCGCCTTCTCATTTTACCACCTATTGTCAGGGGCTCAGGGGCTGATCTGGGGCTGGGGGGGGGGATGCCCCTATTTTCCACAAGAAAACAACTTGCCAATTTACCATTATGCTGCTTGGAAATTTTACGCACCCCCCCCCCCCCCCCCCAACGGAAAATTCTGGATCGGCCCCTGATTGTAAATATTCGCTAATTACTTCATCAGTTACTTTTTAACTTTTTTTGAATTTCTGTATAGGCCTAGAATGTTACTCTTTGGCCTGTGTGAGCTATACTTAAAATCAATCAATCCATCCTGTTTTTCAACTATGCCTTTGAATATGTTGCACACAGGATACAGAAGTGCTACTTTTCTTTAAGTCTTGCTCAGTATTCCTATTGCTCATAATTTGTCAAACATAAATTGTTTAATAAATGTCTTTAAATGTACTTGTTTTTATTTCTTGTTTTTCCTCCAGTGGGATACCGGCCTTGCAGGAGTTCATGATGGGAGCATGTGAAGATCCTAATGATTTTGCAGAGACTGAAGACACTTCCACAGATGATGCCTTTGGAGCATTTTTCAGTGACGATGCATCCGATGAAGAAGACGCAGATGGCTCAAGTAGTGACTTTCAGTTTCAAAATTCCACTGATATGAATTCTGCCATTTATGAAGGGGCTCAAATCACTCTTGGAGTAAGCATGCTCTTGGTCATTGCCTTTGCCACCAGACATTCTATAACTTCCTGAGGGTATTACTGAACTTCTTCAGCTGCTACTACTGCACTGTAATGTCAACAATTGCCTGCCAAAAACATTGTATGCATTCCAGCAGTTCTTTAAGGATGTACAGCACCCCTTAAAATACCACAAGTACTGCTCATACTGTTTACTTGGGATTGACACACCATCAACTGGATTGGGCACATGTCAAAATCCACAATGCGGAAAGAGCTTACAAGACGAAGCAAGCGTAGCAGGATTTATTGAGATTCCAATCCACTCTCAAATCCAATCACTTTTCAATCGGCCAGGTTTTAAAGATAGCATAAAAGCTAAATCAAACCGTGTAAAAAGAAATGAATTGGCCATTGAAGATATTTACGACGGAAGGCTTTACAAAGAGCTGGTTACACAAGGCATTCTAAATGAATATGATATAACTCTGACCTTAAATACTGATGGTGCCAAAAACAAGTCTGTGGCCTGTCTATCTCATGATTAATGAACTGCCTTTTTCAGAAAGAATTCTTCTTGAAAATATGATTGTTGCAGGGATATGGTATAGTGTAAAAAAAAACGAAAATGGCAGGCTTCCTGCGTCCATGCATGACATCATTAAAGCAGTTGGAAAATGGCGTCAAATTGAAGATAGATGAAAGTGAAGTCAACTTCAAAGCTATTTTGCTTTCAAGTACATGTGATTTGCCAGCTAGAGCCTGTGTTTGTTCAATGAACCAGTATAATGGTAGCTGTTCTTGCATTAAATGCAAACAAACTGGTAAAGTTGTTAAAGTTGGTAAGGGAAGCACACGAGTCTTCCCACCAGATATGGACAATCTAGTTGGTCCTGCAAGAACCGATGAATCTGTTTGTGCAGATGCTTTGGCAGTGACACAATTAAAAAGCCCTGTGGACGGTATTAAAGGACCTTCATGGTTTTCTTACTTGAAATTTTACAGTTTTGTAAATGGCACAGCCATTGATTACATGCATGGTGTGCTTCTTGGTGTGACAAAAAGCCTGCAAGCCCTTTGGTTTTCAACAAAATATAGTGCTCAAGGGTTTAGTATTTCAAAACAAATTGATGTAGTAAACAAATGCCTTCTCCAAATTAAGCCACCAAATTACATGTCTAGGCTTCCAAGATCATTGTCCGATTCAAAGTACTTGAAAGCATCACAGTGGAAACATTGGCTACTGTACTTTGCTCCAGCAGTTTTGTATGGCATTTTGCTCCCAGAGTATTATTCTAATTTTTTGTTGTTGAGTGAAGCAGTATTTTTACTTTTGCAAGATTCAGTCTCTTTAGAGGATGTAAATAGGTCTAGGCTTATGCTTGCTAGATTTGTTGCTATATTCCCCACCATGTATACAGAAGCTAAAATGACACTCAATGTGCATCAATTATTGCATCTCCCTGACCAAGTTCTAAATTTGGGACCCATGTGGTCGGTATCATGTTTTCCATTTGAAGATGCAAATGGCTTCCTACTGCAGCTATTCAATGGGACACAACACGTTGACAAACACATTGCCCATGCAATTGCAGTTATACAAAAGATTCCTGAATTGATGCCAGCTATAGAGAAAAACACCCCAGCTCACGATCTATACAACAGAATTAAGCGAAAATGCTTAAAACACAAAGGAAGTTTCTTAGAGAATGGGGTGTATTTAGTAGGAGCATCAAAAATGGTAAATGATCTGTCATGTTCTTTCAGGTGTGCAATCACAGACAAACTTGGCAGTCCAATAGGAAGAATCATCTCATTTAAACGTGCTAATATATTGGGCGACATATTTCACTCCAAGGCATATACCCGTGTACGTTTAAGAAATAGTTATACTGTTTCCTTTGAGGAGGACAATGCTGTGTTGTGTGGTTTTATTGAAATTTTCCTTCAGGTTTCCATAGAGTGTCAATGTATGGGTAAATGTTATTGCACTCCAACACATTTTGCAATGATACGCAATTTACCTGTGCTTGAAAATCATCGGGGGATTTCATACTTAAAGAAAGTATGTGAGACTTCCCAAGACAAAATCAGTGCTGTTCCCTTGAAGAAAATTAGAAGGAAATGTGTTTTTATTGATGTAACAGAAAGTAATCTAAAGCTTGTTTGTACAGTACCAAATATCATCGAGAAAGACTAGATTGTTTACTGTGGGGTGAATTAGCCCCCATTATGTACATGTACTGGTAGCCCCTTTCTGTTCAGAAGCCACTTTCGAATGTGATCCTCAATCCATGACCATTAGGGAGACAGCAAATTCTAAAAAAGTTTAAAACCACTGGCATTTTGCGATGATTATATTTTGAGTCACTGGCACAAGTTGCCTCTAAGCTGTATTTCATTGCACTGCAAATAATAAACACAAAGGAAAAGCACAAACGCGAGATTTATTTCTGTGATAATCACAGTGAGAGGTACCACTTATTGTGAATGCACAGTGGGACTGAGAGGCGGGTCAAAATCAGTCAACTGGTTTTGACCCGTGGGACAGTCAATGAGAGGTACCACTCATTGTGAATGCACTGTGGGACACTCAATGAGAGGTGGGTCAAAATCAGTCAACTGGTTTTGACCCGTGGGACAGTCAATGAGAGGTACCACTCATTGTGAATGCACTGTGGGACAGTCAATGAGAGGTGGGTCAAAATCAGGCGACTGGTTTTGACCCATGGGACAGTCAATGAGAGGTACCACTCATTGTGAATGCACTGTGGGACAGTCAATGAGAGGTGGGTCAAAATCAGTCGACTGGTTTTGACCCGTGGGACAGTCAATGAGAGGTACCACTCATTGTGAATGCACTGTGAGACTGAGAGGCGGGTCAAAATCAGTCAACTGGTTTTGACCCGTGGGACAGTCAATGAGAGGTACCACTTATTGTGAATGCACAGTGGGACAGTCAATGAGAGGTGGGTCAAAATCAGTCGACTGGTTTTGACCCATGGGACAGTCAATGAGAGGTACCACTCATTGTGAATGCACTGTGGGACAGTCAATGAGAGGTGGGTCAAAATCAGTCGACTGGTTTTGACCCATGGGACAGTCAATGAGAGGTACCACTCATTGTGAATGCACTGTGGGACAGCCAATGAGAGGCGGGTCAAAATCAGTCGACTGGTTTTGACCCGTGGGACAGTCATGAGAGGTACCACTCATTGTGAATGCACTGTGGGACAGTCAATGAGAGGTGGGTCAAAATCAGTCGACTGGTTTTGACCCGTGGGACAGTCAATGAGAGGTACCACTCATTGTAAATGCATTGTGGATTACAATATTCCCTCCATGTTTTTTTTTTTGGGGGGGGGAGGGGCTCAGATAATTCATGTCAGTATAATATCGGGTAGTTGCTGGTGTTTTGTTAGGTGTTTTTTAATTGTGGCGGGGCTCAGATAATTCTCAGGATAATAGTTGCTGGTGGATTTCAATACTCCCTGGGTGTGCTTTAGGGAGGGGTGTGCTTTTTTTTTGGGGGGGGGCCTTCAGATAATTTACAGAGCAGAGTAGTTGCTTGGTGGATTACAATACTTCCTTGGTGGTTTTCTGTTTGTTGGGGGGGGGGTGTTTGTTTGTTAGGGGGTGGGGTTCAGATAATTCTCAGAGGAGCCACAACTGTCTTGACAGGGATCATGATTCAGAAAACACCAGGCACTATGGGGTCGTTCAGACACTGTCTTAAATTCCCATTAAAACACTGGTTGAACTCGATTCAGTGTAACTTTCTTGCTAAAACGATGTCTGAACGCTTTTTTATTTAAACCGAATCGAGTTGAACTCAAAGATAAAACGACAACTTAAACCCCCTCGGAGGGAGGGTTTAGCGAATAACCAGAATGAGTTTTAACCTTCTAGTACGATGTCTGAACAGTGTTAGCTAAAACGCTGCCCGCAGCGCAGTGACCCAGAGTTACGTAACGCTTTCTCCATGGTGTGCTTTTCTATTAAGCAAACAATGTCCTAATACTCCTACCGTTAAAAAAAAATCAAATTTCAAGTCCAATTTCCGCAAGTTTTCAGACCACATGGTCCGAGTGTCACATCGTGCTCACTTGCACGCACTCGACTCACGATGCCATGACAAACCTGTAGATGTCAACGCAACAACCGATAACCGGAGCATAATTATCATAATACACTAATATATTCAACCAACAGGAAAACCTTGGCGTTGATTGGTCAATATTGCAATGTTAATATCATGTGTATTTTCATGTGACTGACACAGAGATGCCACAGGGTCTGCTTGAAAAAAACGGAACTGGGTCTGCTTGAAAAATTGAACTTTTGTGTGTGTGAAAAAGCCACTCCGGGGTCATTCCATGCCAACTCAACAAATGTTGCACACCATCACCTCTTGGATTTTTTTCTTTTTTGGTGTACTGAAAGATACTTAGGAGAAATGCAAATTCTGAAAATTTGGGGTCTCTACGACTTTTCGTTCTTGCGCAACAGCATTTTGAAATTTGAGGTGGGCGGGGCCAAAAGTGCGTCGCGTCACGAAATTCAATGTTTAAAGGGCCATATATTTAAAACTATACCCCCCAGACATTTCAAACTTGGTAATCTGGGCTATTTTTTGCTGTAGATTTCAAATATTTTAACAGAAAGAAAGTAGCTTGTTTCATTTTTAAGTTAAAGGGGCCCCAAAATGGCCCAAAACCCATCTGGACCAATGTTCGGGGGGGTGTAAGTCAAAAATTGAAAATATTTTTTTCACCAATTTTTTTGCCTGTAATAGCCCCCAAGTGAAACTACTTTCATGTAAAATCTTACACTTATATTAACTTCATTGAATGAGATATAGCCCTTGCAAAAAGCAAATTGTTTATTTTTACGATAACTTGACCCCCCCAAAAACCAACGTCAGACATTCCGCCCCAAATTTTGCTTCACATATGTTTGAGGTTGGTCCTTAGTGAAGTCCTCTGAAAAGTTTCATGTTGGTGTCTAAATGTCTTCAGTGGATAGCTGGGCTTTATAATGAGTCTATATCTTACGATGCTGGTTCCGTAACATACAACTAAGTACACATACATTGTACCAAGAATAACAGCAGTCGGTACATAAAGAATAAGTTGGGTATGAAACTTAGCTTACATTTGTACATGTAGACTTTTGATCAGTTGATATAATTGTTTACAGTTTCACAGGTGAAATTATGCATTCCTTGTGATGTAGTTTTGATGAAGTTGAATGAGTTGCATGATGGTTGGCTCACTAAGTTTGTATTGCCTTCCACCGCTATGTAGAAGTTCTGGTGTTGGTACGCAACACAACACATCAACAAATGGAATGTTACATTTATCCTCTCTTTGTGGCCAATAGAGAGTATTTGTTGATTCCGTCCTGTACATGAAGCGGACATACACATCCTCATGAAGTTGTGATACATCTTCTACAATAGCAATGTACCAAACATCATCATAGACCACACAAACATATTTTCCTGGGTTGAGGTCAGCTGCTACAATTGGTGCATGATGAGTTTCCTGCATGAACTAGGTTCCCCTTATCCATAATGAAAACTAAGATCAATCAGGTTAAAACCATAGACCCTTTACTCAAACTGAATCACTTCTCTTTGGTTCAGGTTAGTGCTATACTATGCTGTGCAAGTGAGAACTGGTTAAAGGGAATATACATCATTTGCTTTTGCTGTAATTTTCAGAAATGGATGGAATTGGGGGGTTGGAAATATAAAGCAAATATAGTTACACTGACTTTTTTGAGGTTTTGGGTTCGAAAATGCTATAAAAACCAAGAAAAACGATCATTTTCCTGTAGTCTGGTTCCCTGACTCCATATAAGAAGAAACAGAGCAGTTTACATACATTGGGGAATTGTAAGGTCAGGGAACCAGTCTAGCTGGCTCGTATCCGTTCATAGGTTTGTAATCGATTGCAAACAAGTGCAATGGTCAATTGGGGCCAGTATTTGAAAAAAAGCCAGTTGTTTCCAACGCTGATCGGCCGATCAGCGTTGGAAATTGATACAAAAATACCACTTTTCTTGAAAATGACAGTATACCAGGTGCCATAATTTTACAGGATGCTTTAGACTGTCATTTACCAACATCCTGTTAAGGTATTTCCCAAAAACTTGATAGTTTTATTTTTCGATGTTTGCAAATGTTGTATATTCCCTTTAATGTATACATGTACATGACATGCATGCTGTGTGATGAGCACATGGAAAGAATAAGACTCTCAAGTCATTTAACCTAATTTGCCTATAATGCACACATAGGTCTACAAGCAACTGTTTATTGAGCAGGAAATGGGTAGTCTTGACCCAAGTCTATCAACAGTCTATCAACAGGGATTTTGTTGTGCTGGTTCCGTAAAATACAAGTACATGTACTTGTATGTTACGGAACCTGCAGCATCGTAAGATATAGACTCTTTATAAAGCCCAGCTATCCACTGAAGACATTTAGACACCAACATGAAACTTTTCAGAGGACTTCACTAAGGACCAACCTCAAACATATGTGAAGCAAAATTTGGTGCGGAATGTCTGACGTTGGTTTTTGGGGGGGTCAAGTTATCGTAAAAATAAGAAATTTGCTTTTTGCAAGGGCTATATCTCATTCAATGAAGTTAATATAAGTGTAAGATTTTACATGAAAGTAGTTTCAATTGGGGGCTGTTACAGGCAAAAAAATTGGTGAAAAAAATATTTTCAATTTTTGACTTACACCCCCCCGAACATTGGTCCAGATGGGTTTTGGGCCATTTTGGGGCCCCTCTAACTTAAAAATGAAACAAGCTACTTTCTTTCTGTTTAAATATTTGAAATCTACAGCAAAAAATAGCCCAGATTACCAAGTTTGAAATGTCTGGGGGGTATAGTTTTAAATATATGGCCCTTTAAACATTGAATTTCGTGACGCGACGCACTTTTGGCCCCGCCCACCTCAAATTTCAAAATGCTGTTGCGCAAGAACGAAAAGTCGTAGAGACCCCAAATTTTCAGAATTAGCATTTCTCCTAAGTATCTTTCAGTACACCAAAAAAGAAAAAAATCCAAGAGGTGATGGTGTGCAACATTTGTTGAGTTGGCATGGAATGACCCTCCGTGTCCGACACAAAGTGCCCGTTGTCATCTTTATCTTGTAGCTAAGCCAAGTTCTGTTTATTTTTTAATTTTGCTTCTATGGCCTTTAAAGCTGTCAGTTCGTTCAATCACTTTGACTTTTTCCATATTCCTAATA